CCTCACGGCCGTGGCTGGTCAAATTTCTGAACTTCAGGATAGGAGCAAGGATATTGATAGTAGGCTTAAAAGTCGAAGAGTGAGTAATATATCTCTGAAATGTGAAGATCTCCCCAAGACTCATGTAAGTTGGACCACAGAGAATTGAACGCCCATTATCCAGTCTCATATCTGATATTACTATTCCTCCGTCGCTCGCAACATTAATCCTCGACTCTAATGTGGGAGAACCATGGATAGAGGCAATTGATGACTTCGAAAGGCGATTAAACACATCGAAAGCCCGGACGCGTGTTAAAGCCGCTAGAGACCTGGGAGAAGTAGCTGAAGGCTTGCGAATAGTGGTATGTTCATTAACCATCGCTTTATTAACAAATTCACGCATACTACTCAGGCAGCAACGAAACTTCGTAGTTTCTTTCTTGCTCTATTCCAACCTATCCGCAGCAATGTTACTACCAATATGCAAGTTATCCAAACTTCCATTCTCTTGAAATATGGTCCGCTATTCGCCTTTCTAAAGCGACAAGCGCCATCAGTAGCCCAGGAAGTACAGCGATCCTACGTAGGTGCGGCCCGTGTTTACTATGAAACAGGATTTCGGAGATACTCTCGAAGCCTTGGTTGGATAAAGGTTAGCGCATGATATTATCCCAGTATTAATATTAATTCAAGAGTTAGGCCCGTACAGTTGAGAAGTTTGAGACGATTGTTGCAAGCGAAAAGGAAGCTGAGTGGAATATGAACATGGAGCGCCTCCAACATGCAAGGATTGACGGCCCTGGTGCAACTCTTGCTTACATGGCAGACGATAAGACTCATGTGAGTGATCAATATTATCAACATTATAAATCCTAATAAATATAGATAGAAAGAACCTGTCGAAGCCCTGCTGCGGTCTCTCTTCCTCGTGTTCATGGACAATGCAACGGCGGAATATACTTTTGTGAATTCGTTTTTCTCCGTGAACCTTTCAATACCACCGGTGGAGCCGGCTAGCGGAATGCTTTCTCCTAAGTTGATGATTTCACCCACTCTCGATACTGGGTTGTTCGCAGAGCCACGGTCGGCAACGGGTTCAGAATATGGAGAACAGCAAAACTCATCTGCCAATGCTACCGGATTTGCAACTCTCTCTACATCAAAAGAAGAACAATCCAATATTGACGCTATATGGAAGCAGATATTTGATCCAGTACTAGAATATTGCCAGGTGGGTCGGTCACTCATACAGATTTAGCTCACTTCGAAGTTCTCAAATGCTTGTAGACCTTCTTACGCTCCGTGCTGGAGCCTATGCCACCTATTATTCCTCTCCTAACGATGATTCGTTTGACAGAAGATGTGGGCAAGGAAGTGCAGATGCGCCAGTGTCCTCCAGCAGAAACTTATATCTTCACACTGCGGCTACAGATGTGGCCAATCTTCCAAAAAGCCGCGACAGAACATGTAGATGCTTTAAAGAAGATCGCAGAAGGCACAAGTACAGGTTACTTCGGCAGAACTGCGGCAACTACCGACACACTCGTTGCAAATGTGAGTGGCTCCCGAAAATCCAGCGTTTAGCTACTCACAGCCACTCTAGATGTGCAAACGATATATCGTCCTTTTCAACTCATTCATATTTCTAACTGAGCACGAGGAAGAAACAATGATATTCTCAAAGTTAGTGTCTATTGTATCTCTGCAGCACGACTTAGCCTTTACGTTGATAGTCTACATCGGCTTCGACAAGAACTTGTGAAGCTTATATCAAGGCATACCAACCAAATCAGTGATACCGTTAGACAGGCCACAGCTCAATCTACTATTTATGAACTACTACTACAAGGCTTGAGCGTCAGTACAATACCTGTCTTGAGATAAACGAATGCTCATAAATATTTACAGAAAGGAATGCACCATACTGCACACCCAAAGTCGCAGCAAGAAATCGCGTATTGGGCGAATTTAGAAGAGGAGGCGAGAAGGAAAATTGTATCTGCTGGTCAATCAAGATCACGTCGATAGTTTATTTACAAAGTATCGATCGTATGAGTACTTCGTTGTTGTACAATAGTACTCGTATTGCGACTCTTGTTTGTCCATATCCTAGATTAGTATTTGCACCTGTGTTAAACTATGTTTTCAACCCTGCTTTGCCAAATATCAGCGACCCATGAGCTCAATATTCCTTTCAACGCTGCACATTCCAATTCCAAGCAAGTCATATAAGTCTTTCTCCCGTTGGACTCAACATCCTTGAATATGGCGGTATCAAATGCACAAGACGTTAAAACACCACAACCACTAATCATCTCGCAAGATGAAGAAGGTACATCCTTTCCTCTTTCCGCCTGGTCTCTTTGCTGAACTTGGAACTAACAGAAATATATGTGAACAGATCAGATTATCCATGCGCGTATAACAAACGATGAACGACCACTTCGCCGCGTAATAAAAAGATTCCATAACTACACTTCCCTCACTCCCAATCCCATTGTCCCGCCTTTTGCTGGAAATATAAGCATATCTGCTATAGACGATGCCCGAGAAGCATTCTTGGTGGAGTTGGCGTCATTTCAACTCTCACTGAAGAAAAGTGCGATGATATGCGACGCCGAGGCTCGACAGGTGCAAGAATATCAGAGAGAACGACAGAGAATTGGTGCGGATATCATTCGAACTATGTTGTGGTCTTCTAATAATATTTTACCCCTAGACGAGGAGCACGAGACACTAAAAGTTCAGATAGACGAACTGAAGACCGCATTAGAACACGCACAAATGCTACGACGCAGAAAGATTGAATACGATCTTGTGGCCGAGAAAGTGAATACGCTACCTAGCAGGGATGAGCTGGAGCAGTAAGTTATCATCTTTTGCCAATGATTATTACCGCGGTCACTGATGAATGGACACTAGAACAATCCGGGTCATAGAAAACGACATGGCAGCTATACGCACTGAGCACGAAACTCAGAATCGGACAATACAAGGGCAAAAATCTGCTTTAGACGGTATAATTGCGGAACTCGGTTCGCTACGATTTATGGGCAAGGATGCCGATACCACCGCGTCTACTGGCGGGTCTGCGCGTGCTACCCCTGCTCCAGAAGAAAGCGGTATCATTACGACGGAAGGAAGCGTTGGGAGTGGGACCCGAGCAAATACCGCTATGCCTACACAGGATGATGAAAAGGAAGAAGGCGAAGAGGATAAGGTAAATGATCAACTACTTTTGGATACTGAGGCTGCAGGCACTGTTCTTGAGAATGATATTGAGATGGGCGAAGTCGAAGAGGACAACAGGAAGGGGAAGAAGAAACTTAGAGAGGATTTGGAAGAGGGAGAAGCAAGTGATGCCAGCAGTAGTGAGCTTTCTGAACCGCCAGACGATGATTGAGTAATTTTAGTTTTTTCTTACGAATGTAATATTATTCGTTTCCATCTTTACTATGTGGTATATCCAAGCTCATGAAATCCCGAGCACAAATGACACTATTTCCATATTCAGCAGCCGCTAGCTGTGCAATCCCTCCCATGATTCTTTTAGCTTCTTCGCTCTCGTCGCCCGGATATCTTGACGAAAAATGGTTAAGCACAAGTGATTGGGCTTGAATACGCTTTGCGAATGCGCCTGCCATCTGAGGCGTCGAATGCCCTCTGGACTTCGCCCGAGCCTCCACGGTTTCATAAGTATCAATCTCTTTGGTATTCTCGTCAATGCCAGGGAGATGAGCGTTGGTGGCCTCGTGTATCAGCAGGTGAGCATCTTCAGCCAAAGGAATAATTGGAGATGGATCATAGGTATCGCCAAGAATTACAAGTTTTCGTCCCCTTCTTCGGGGAGGACCATGCAGCACAGTTCCATCCGAAAGCGTCACAGTTTCACCTTGTTGGAGCTGGCGCATCACTGTCATAGGTGCCTTAGTGCGCTTTATATCAGCGATATATTTCTTTGGATCGATTTTACCAGGAACTGGTGCTTCTGTGATCACATATCCAACACATGGAACTGAATGCAGGATGGGTGCGGCTGATACAGAAACGATGCTGTCTTGGAAGATATCGGACCAAATACCGTCAACTTGGAGAATGTTGCGACCGTGTAATTCTTGCGGAAGGGGTGGGAGGGAAGTAAAATCGCCAGATTGTGGGTCAGAGAGTTGCCGCAACTCATGAACGACGTAGGGTGAGCTCAAGAGAGAGTGGGTATATCCGAGACCATTTCGAACGTATGCACGGGTACCGAGCGGTCCATAGATTTCCAAAGGCTTGAATCACCGATGAAGATTTTAGGTGGAAATGGGCGTTTATATACGGCTTCAATACTCACAGGTGCATTTGTATCGACATGCATTCGAGGGTCCTCCATTCCCTCAGTTATCCCGCCTGCCCCATTCAGGCAACTTGCTAGCAGAGGTAAAAGTCCAAATATATGGTCGCCTACAACAAGCTATGTTAAAAATTACAGCGACCGAATGAATTGAGAATTCTCGCCGTGGGTATGAGTGATGAATATCTTTTCGATCTTTCCCATCTTCACGCTGCTCCTTTGTATTTGATGCTGGGTCGCTTCTCCACAGTCAAACAGCCAAACATCGCCGGAGAGTCGTAAAGCAAGTGAAGAGTGATTTCTGGTAGAAGAGGGCTGCGCAGAAGCCGTGCCCAAGAATGTAATGTTCAAAGACGTGATGGGAGACCGTGTGGACATGTTATTTGAAGAAAAGTTGCGATGAATGAAAGAACGACAGGGCTGATCATGAAGGCGTAGAAAGGAAGAGAACGGGCAGAGTCCGTAAGATTTCAAGTTGTACCAAGGAAGGTAACTCATTACGAGTCACGAACTAAAACATAATAATATAAGTATTGGGCGCTCGAGCTAAAATTGGTTTACAACTATACCGGTATTATACCGCTGCCCCAAGATGCGTATTCACTGTTGTATCGGAGGAGGCCTGAGCTGGTCATCCCAGAGGAGCTTGAGTCATTTAGTATGAATGGCTATAGATAAAAAATGTCGGTAGCTGGAATCGAACCAGCGGCTCTTCGGAACACAACGGTGCCACAACGAAGTGATTTAACCCCTAATCGATACCGACTTGTTAGATAAGGGAGCCAGAATAGATATATCGAATTAACATCAGTGAAGCGTTGCTGCTCCGTGTCGGTGGAACCCTTGCTTGCAATAAAATATAAATACGTTCGAAGATGTACATATATATCATTGGCTAGGAAAACTATAAATAACTTTCTTATCTAGCGGATGCTGCAGCTAATTCAATCACGACAAGTGCAAGCTAGATAGGGGCTAGCTTCACTTAAACGTCTGTAAATTACCCTTGCACGCAAGAGAATGCTCATTCCTCTTCCCTAGTTCTTAGCTAATCTATTCACTGCTGTGTACTTAGTATATAGACCCTCTGACAAATATCATTCGAAACACCTTCAGCTATTTTTCATTAAACATATCATAACTACTAAATCATTATTAAGGTGTCGAGCGTTGAGGATGGTTAAATGTTGAAGGTTTTGGTATAGATGGCATAAAGGACCGTCTAGAAAAAAAAAGTGCTTTTAGTTAGCGAAACCATTCCATACATAGCTCATCATACCTATTAAGCACAAGACCCTTCAACGCTCGTATTTCCCTCTTCATCTCATCTTCTGCTGGGTTTATACCCCCAGAGGTCGGTAAGCCTATCCCGGTTAATGATGGTCTGTAGGGAACGTAGACTTGCGTGCTGATATATCCTGTGAAATCGGAAAGAGACTGTAGGGTATATTGGAATGGGCTCGTCCGTGCATGCTTCGGCATAGATGATGCTAGCGTATCCAGTGACTTCGCTAGTGGAGACGGCTCTTGGATGGCAGACGTCGCATACGCCCATGTTGTTGGCGGTACGGACTCCTGTACGGGCTCGATGGCGGTTCCAGGAGAGGGTAGAGGGGGTGTTCCAATGAATAGCGGGCATCCCGACAGTGTTTCCCAAAGTTGTTGCTGTAACACATTTAGCAATAATGTTAGTATTAGTCAAAATACGCATACCTCAAATTTCAGGCCGTCATCGGAAACAAGCCATGGGATCTTGCCTTCGAGGTAGCGGAATAAGTCTTCTGTTGTTGGATTTGCTTCAGCACCAGTCTTTCCCTTTGTAAAGTCGATTATTCCACAGCGAAGCAGGGTAATGGGAGGAACCTCTTCAATGTCTGGCTCGTTCTCGTGTAGGGTCGAAAATATGTCAGCAATAGAATGGCATGAAGCATATTTTGATGGCTCTTTGTATGGTTCAGGATGAGGAAGAACAGAGAAAGACTCTGATTGGGACTCCTTCAACGAAGCGAGTGATGTAGTGAGTCTTCGGAGCAGCGAAAGATGATGGGATTTTAGTGAGTTCCTTGCAAGAGATGTCTGTGTGATACGAGGAAGCAAGAAACGCTAAGAATAAGAACAGTTTAATTCAGTTATAATGGCTTAGAACGGAATGCGCACATAGTAAATGAATATCAGAGCAGCGGAGCCTCCTGCTAACCATGAGAACAGACGAGCAAGGCCGAGCAGAAGATTAGGCAAGTTGGAGGGAGGTAGCTGGGGGTATGTACGGGGTGGTATAGCAGGCATTTGGGGTGGCTGAAAACACATTAGTACTATATATGAGGCTGTAGATAGAATGTCTGTATACCATCTCACGAAGCAAGGACTCAATATCAACCTCGTCCAAGCCTTTCTCCACCAGGAATCTGCGCTTTGATGCAGTATCTTGATGTTGCACTTGCGGCGAATTCAAAAAGGAACGAGCTCTGGAAAGTAGTTCAGGCCTCTCTATGGGTGGAAATGGATGCGAAGCGGGCGAAGAAGTGGTCGAAGATGCATCTGTATTCGGAGAAGAGCTTGCTCGTGTGGTTGGTAGATTGGCTGGCGGAGACGAAGCTGTTTTATTAATAGGCATCCTGAAGATAATCGAAGACGGTATGGAATATTGCTTAAGATTGGGGAGGGGTAGAACGGTGGATGCTGAGCACGGCGGCTACTTTGACGAAATGCCCGACGCGGCGATCCCGCACTTGCACATGATACATCATCCATCGGGCCGATGACCCGCTGCTCTTTCTTCCTGTCCTCATGAGCTGCTTGTGTATCATCTCGACGCTGAGAAAATAGTCCTCGCTATGGAACATGATCTATTTCTACCTTTACCTTCCAGAAAATGCAATGAAATACTTGCTGTTCTCTCTTGATATCTGCCATGATACTTTCCTTCTTTCTGCAAATCCTGGTCACTGGTCTTGCACTTGCTCAACTGCACCCTAAGGAACCAGCAATATACCAGCGTCTCCCATCCCTGAGAGAGCGCGCGCATATACAGGATCAATGGAGAGATGAGCGCATTTCGACCATTCCTTCGCTCCTCAAGAAGTATAACATAGATGCATGGCTTGTGAGCAGTTATATAGGAGCTTTTTACACAGAGCTAATTTGAACTATTCCATATCTGCCCCAGATGTCACAGCGGGAACATGCTGAAGATACCATATGGTGGTCAACTAAACATGCTACTGACTATGATGCCCACCGACGAACCGTGGTTCTATTTCACGCCAACAAATCTTCATTAGCTGGTCATGTTAACCCACTCATGTGGGTTGACAACACAGGCCAAGTCTGGCCAGAGCTACGAGCAACTCTAGAGTCCTATAACCCTAAGCGCATTTTACTCAATACCGATCGTGATATTGCGTTCGCGGCCGGTCTCCATGCTGGTGAATTATTTGTTCTACAGGAAGAACTAGGTCACCGTTGGATGTCGAAGACAGTCAATGAGCCGATGCTCGCTGTCGAATATGTTGCTACGAAGATGAGTGGACAACTTGCATACTATAAGAAGCTGCAGGAGACGGTTTGGGCGATGTTGGAAGAGGGCTTTTCACAACGTGTTATTCATCCTGGTGTCACCACAACGAAGGTGAGTCCCTTTCTGTTCCTTCGCTAAGTTGAACAGACATTCGATCTACGGAATAGGATGTCGAATGGTGGTTCCTGGAGAAGATGCAGGAACAAAACGTAACGACATGGAATCATCCTAGAATATCAGTGCTCACCGAGGAATCGTATCCTGGTTGGGAAGGATCCGATGATATAATCCGGGAGGGTGACATCCTTCACATCGACTTTGGCATAACAGCGATGGGGCTCAATACGGACACCCAGCATATGGCTTACGTTCTTCGAACGAGCGATGATATACTAGAGACGGACGCCCCAGAAAGTCTGAAAGAAGGTATGAGAAAAAGTAATAGGATGCAGGATATAGTACTCGAGAACATGAAAGTGGGCCTTTCTGGCAATGAAGTCCTTCGAGTATGTTTGGAGCAGATGAAACGCGAAGGAATCGAAGGCCAGATATTTTCTCATCCAATCGGTGATTGGGGACACGATGCAGGATCAGTCATAGGTAAATATCTTCTATGAAGCATCGCAACATCACTTAGCACTTATTAAACATTTATTGATCACATAGGATTCCTTAATCTTCCTGAATTCGTCCCGGTCCTCGGAGAACTTCCCATCCTGCCTAACACATATTACAGCGTCGAACTATATGCCTATCACTTTATTTCCGAACGGAACGAAACAATTCGATTCCGACAAGAAGAAAATGTGTATTATGTGGAAGAGCTCAACTCGTGGCAGTTTGTTCGCGGGAGACAGGAGAGATTCCACCTTATAGATGGAAGGAAACAGCAGCAGCAGGGTTTTACCGTTCAAAACTTTTCATAAGCCTTATGAGTGTACCATTGAATGGAAACACACGAATAAATAATGTATCGGCCGAACAAACTAAACTATAATGGACGTTGGTAGAGGCACGAACCAATCACGACAAGCACAGTTATTTTAGAACATGTTGGCAAGCTTACTAGCTGCCTCCCGAGGATCTAACCTGGGCCTTGTTGGCTGCACTCTCACAGAGCTAGCCATCTGATGAGGTTTAATACGGCCCAAAGGATCGACGTTACTGTTCTGGGACTCCCCGTTCAAACCACGGGGAGAATTGGCATGAAGGGGTGATGATACTCTTGAGTAGGAATCGTTGCGGAGTGGGTCGAGCGGCGGGTTTGATAATGTGTGATGGTTGGTTGTTGACGACGAAGAAAGTGGAGAAGAGGCCGAAGTGGGCTTCACAAACATTGACTTTGTGCCATCCATAAAACGACCACCGAGAGGAGGTTCGTCTACAGCCTGTCGCGATTGCGTAGTCTGTCCAGGACCTGGGGAAGACGGACCGGCGCCGGGTGACTGAGGAGGCAGACCCTGCCTTGGGAGGACGTTTGGCGATGGTGAGTATACACTTTGATGAGAAGTAAATGAATGAGAGGAAGAGGCAGCAGATAGTGGCTCCTGTCGTTGAGGGGATGCTAAGGATGAAGGCGAAGCCAAGGTTCCATGCGATAACGAAGCCTGCGGTGGTGGCCTGTGTGAACCAAAGCCATGCGAACCTTGACCCTGAGGTACTGAGGTGTGGGGAGGTGTCTGCATATCGGGAGGTGGTCGATTAAAGCCATTACCTATGGGTGCTGAAGGGGCGGACTGAAGGGGCGGTGGACGGCTTGAGAAGTCCTCCAGCGGAGGAACAACCGAAGGTTTAGGAGCACCATTTGCAGCTGGTATAACTTTCTTTGCCGCATTGCTTACATCCACCCTAAGAGCTTCCAGTTCACGAAGCAACTGTCTCTCATACATTATAGAAGATCGTGCATGCTCAATGAGAGCCGTAGTGATGTCGTCATTAGCGTAGCGATTGTGTGTCTGCAACGCCTGGTGCAAATTTTGAGATATCCCTTCTGCACGTTTCGCAAGCACCTGCTCGTATCTGTTTGCCTATAACGATGGTCGGTATCTACAAATTCGTCACTGAAAAGTAAACTTACCTCTTCCATGTCTTCCAGCGCCTCGTCGACACGATCAGCGCGTATGTTGGAGCTAGCTTTGAGGCGTTCGATATGCCGACGTTTGGAGATGGTAGTTTTTACTGCAGCCTGATATTCCTCAAGCACGCCAGTTCGCATTTGCAGCGTTTCTTTCGCTGAGCGTGCATTCATT